TTTAATGTCACAGCTTTTAAAAGGATAGGTCACTGCCTATGGTGCATGATTCTGTTTGGCTAACATGTAGAAATTTGCACGTTGTAGATGACAGCCATAAAAAAATCATTCTTGTTCGAAAGTGAATGTTCTGCATGCTCTGGTGACTGGCGCTATTAAGAAATATTTGCACGGAATGGAAGTCAACATACAGTCGAACCTCGATATATCGAACGGCGCGGCGATCACGAAATAGTTCGTTATATCCAGAATTCGATATAAAAAAATCACGAAAAAAATGCGTCAACAGCTTGCTGAAAACGACCAACGAACCATTCAAGCGTGGTGCAGTACTCACTTGAAGATTCAAACATAGTATTTATTGTGTTGGTTTAAAATATTGAAAAAGAGTAGCCTGCTTTTTGTTGGCCATGGGGTGTTTGACGACTGCGTTCTCAATATAGTCCAGGCGATCCATAAGTGATAGGCCGGTGCCTTCAACCGCGCCTCAGTGGCGGCGCACAAGGGCCAAGGCAGCTGATGTCGGGAGCAGGGCATCATCAGCGCTTGCGGAAGTCTTCATTTGGCTGCTCAGCAGTAGCTTCGGCGACAATCTCCACGTTCGTGAGCTCCGCCGTGAGCTCCGCTGTTAGGAGTTAGGCCTGTCGCACAGCGTGCGACTGGCCTAACTCCGAATGCACGAACACTGCGAGCACAACAACCGATGCCTGCCGATGCTACGGGGGAGGAGCTTGCAACAAGTGCGCAGTGTGCCGTTGACACCATAGAGACTGCAACGACTGCAAGCTGCAAGGCTGCGCCGTGAGTCCGGGTGTAAAGCGCGCACATGGCGTGCCCATGCTGGCTCGCCTGACTGCTTTCCCTTTCCCGGCGGCAGCGCGGGCCGCGTCCGAGACAGTCGTCCGCGTCCTTTCCCTCCTATACTTTCCTCCTCAATCTTTACCTTCTACTCCCTCTTCCCCCGCGCGAAGCCGTGTCGGTGCCTTCGTATTGAAAGAAAATAACAGCTCCGTGCTTTTCTTTACACTTTCCTCATTCAAGAACCTCTACCGCAAGGCTGCGGCGCGCGTACGCCGCTACGTTAATGTGGCGCTCTCGGCGCCATCGATGTGTGCAGCATTCGTAAATGCCAGCCGCTCTACCGCTACTTTCGAGAGTTGCGGGAAAGCTCGCCGCCTGTCAATGGAGCACGGGCGGTTTGGGGTGGTTGAGTTCGATATATCCATTATATGTCAAACTTTGTTCGAAATAAAAAATCAATAATGCATGCGATTTCCCGCGTGATATAGGAACCATTCGATATAGGCAATAATTCGATATATCCGAGTTCGATATATTGAGGTTTGACTGTACTCAATTTACGTCGCGCATGTCTTATCCAGTTTTAAATGAGGTACAGCATTGGTGGCAGGATCGTTCTGATCTGCCGTGCACGGGGTCGCTAATGATATTCCCTTCACCACTGATCCAAATTCTGATCAGAGATGAATTTAAAAAAACAAACAAGGACACACTTTTACACATGCACTTGGCTGAGGGTAACAAATCGCTGTGATAATTAAGGCCAAGTTCTAGCCAGTGGCGATTCTCCTAAGCTATTGAAAATTTATGCGCATTTATACATAATCTTTTGTGCATTTACCTTGCTGCATCTGATGCCTACAATGTATTTGCATACTTGTTTTGCTCCTTTAGACCTGATACACACAAACTTGTATTGCGCATTGTCACGTCATAAAGATTGAGTCGTAAAGGTGCGAAGTATATGAGAAATAAGAATCTTCACTGTTTCCATTAATACGTACCAGGTCTCCGATAAACCTTTATTGGGTTTGCGTATTTGCCGTGGTGAAGCATATACGCAGATTCGGCAATGCTACAACATGCTTATAGCTCATGCATAGTTGTATCTTCCAACCCGAAGATACGCACTTTTTTTTTCCTGCATGCAGCAAAAACGCTGAAATGTACCCGCTCGCAAATGATTGCGTCAAATGCATTTTTACCTTGACTAAAATGTAGAGTCATGAAGTTCCACTGACAACCGGTTACTGCCACCGGTCTACAATGATTGTCGATGTTTTTGCAAACAAGATGTATCGTTTGTTCACACAGACGATAGTTATAGCGCGAGAACAAAACGACGACACAAAGACAAGAAGGACACGAGCATCCTTCTTGTCTCTGTGTCGTCGTTTTGTTCTTTCGCTATAACTATCGTCATGCCATACCAACTAGCCCAAGCTGCGACACTTCTATGTTCACACGCACACAAAATATTCTGTTTCACTGTCAGTAAAAGAGAACCAACAATGTCGATGCCTTTCTACCCAGGCAGCACACCACAATAAACACTGCACATTTTCAAAGGCGATGCCGCTGTTCCTCGCACATGTTCACTTAAAAGCTAGCCAGGGTGGCAAATATTGCGCACTTTACCACACACCTAGATGTTCTCTGACACATACTACATATACCACAACTGATTTTTCTCTTGTAAGATAGAAAACAAAACTTGCGCCAAGCACCGTACAACAACTGTACCATGCTCAGCCACCAGCGGGATGTTTGGGCAACCGTTGCTTTGCATGTTCGCTGGTGACGTCACATTGTGATGTACACCTGTGAAGGCCTGTTTTGATGACTTCACAAGCAGTCTGGCTAGTTGTGAGGTGCCAAAACTTTCAAAATAGCCACTTTTGTGCCACCAACGTTGACACAGTGTTGATCCGCAGTGGAAACGTTCTGATCTCTTGCACTTTTTTGTGATTCTCCAGATTCAAGGCAGGCTTTTTTTTTTTTTTGTTTGGCTTGAAGTTTTAGAAGGTTGGGTTAAAATCAGGGCTAGCTTAGAATAAAGTAAACATGGCAATAGGATCACTGTTTTCTGAACAGTGGGGAAGCTAAAACACACATGAGACTCAATAACCTTAGCAAAGGGTGTCCACAATATGCGCACTAAAGCTTTGCACGTATCTGCCTCCAGATAGTGTGCTGAGACGCCAAAACCAACTACAGTCGACTCCTCTTAAATGGAACTCAAAGGGGACCATAAAACTGTTATATTTATCAGAAGTTTCATTTAAGCAAAGTACACTTATTTAGTGCACCAAAACCTTTATTCAAATTGCACAAACCTCACCTTACTCATAGGATGAGTAGGAGAAAAAAAAGGAGTGAAGGGTGGTTTCTTTGGCAAGCTTGAGTTGTAAAATTCAATAGCCTCTTTAGCTGATTGGTCTGGTGGCTCTACTGCACTGGCAATATTGTCATCACATTCATCGCTGGAAGGTTGATCCTCATCTTGTACTCCGGCAATCATTTCCTCGACAGTCTCCTCATGACAGGCACGAACAGTTTCATCAATTGATTTGTAGTCCTACAGCGTGAAAGGGGCAGAGAGCACGACCTCACTGAATACTGCCTCAATGTCGGCATCAGCAAGGCTTCCTTCATCAGGTGCTGCCTCTTGCACTTGAAAGCTAGCATGATGACAGAATCTGTGTATTGTTGTTGCCTTCACTTGCTCCCAGGCACGTGCTAAAATGTGGATGGCTGCCAATAAATCTATGCTGTAGCATTTCCCACTGTCTGCACAAAGCAGCATTCGATGGAGCAATTGTCTGCGGTAATGAAGTTTAATGTTTTGAAAAACCCCTTCATCCATCGGCTGGACCACTGCCGTTGCATTGGCTGGCAAGAACTCCAGAGTGATGGCTTGGAGAGTTTCAACCTGACTGTGGGCTGGGCAATTATCCACGATGAAGACAACCTTCCTGCCTTGCCTTGTAAATCTTGCGTTTTCCTCCCGTAGCCAGATTTCAAAAATGGCCATGGTCATCCACGCTCTTCCGTTCGCATGGTACGGAACAGGAAGGTGTTGAACAACTTTGAAACAACATGGGTGCCTTGTTTTTTCTATTACCAATGGCTTTAATTTCTCATCTCCTGCCATGTTTGCACCCACCAGAACAGTGATGCGATCTTTACTGTGTTTTACTTTACTACAGGCTTCACCTTTTAAGGTGAGAGTTTTTGATGAAAGTGCCTTATAAAAAAGGCTCATCTCGTCGACGATTAAGATGTCTCGTGACTCAAAGCTCATCAAAATTTCTTTAAGCCGCCACTGTTGCCAGTCGGTGCAAATGTCCCTGTTGACTGCATCACTCTCGCTCAAGATTGCTTTGAAGACTAGGCCATGGCATGATTTGAAGCGGCTGAGCCACCCGTCGCATAGGACGAAGTTCTCAACACCCATTTGCATGGTGATCTCTCGAGCTTTCTGCTCTAGAATTGGCCTGCTTATGGGCAAAGTGGAACTCCGTGCACGCTTGAACCACAGAAAAAGAACTCTTTCTAGTTGTTCATAAGGCCTCGTCTGCATCAGCATCCGTTTAAATCTAAAGGTCCCGTCCTTTACAGCGCCTTCAATCGTTTCTCTGTCTTTGCAGATCCGCGACAGCGTCGATTTCGGGATGATGTATTTTTCCGCCACCTCCGTCTTGCGCAGGCCATTTCCATTGAGCTCCTGAAGAATTCGCAGCTTTTTTTCAAGCGAGAGTGCATGGTGCGACCGTTTCCTTTCCATTGGGCTGAAAAGCACAGTGATCCACCGCACTTAGCCGCACAAAAGAGGCCTAAGACACAACTAGAGTGTACTCAAACACAACTGACTTGCCGACTCGGCTCCGACAGCCAACACAAGCGAGAATGGCTACTGGATTGGCTTGTCTTGAGCTGTTGCCATGGTTGTGAGACTACTTTTGGCTTGAGCGAGCTTATGCTGTGTTTAGAGTTTGTGCCGGTTAACCGTAGATGACCAATAAGCACTGTTTCGATTAACCGATGAATTTTACGGCACAACACATAGAAATCGTGCGATATGAGCCCGATTAGTTCCATTAATGAGGCGATTCCGTTTAAGCGAGTTTCGTTTATTGGGAGTCCACTGTAAGTGGCACGAGAAGAAAGAAAGGAAATGGCCAAGGCTATGGACGTACCTTGTCCAAAATTTGCCGAGGATCGACGGTGGGGTTGTGCCTGGCCCATGCACAGACTGCTCGGAAGATGTCCACCTCAGGTGCAAAGAAGGAGTCTCGCCCAATCATCTCCTCCAGAACTGACTGTGTAAAGAAGAGAACGCCAGTGGTCAGCAGCAACCACAGCAGTGACCAACCATGTGTGTACGACACACCTACACATATTCACAACTAGGCGAGGCACGAAATATCGACAACTTTGTGAAAATCTTTTAACTGACCGGTGAGAGCTGGCGAAACGAATCACTCAGTAGGATGGCGGGTGCATGGCGGTCGGCGAATCGCTGGCACGCTCGTGCCAGTGGTGAGAGTTGGTAGAGGCAGGCACGGTCGTAGATGCGGCACACGTTGCGCACACCCAGCACCCGCTCTAGATAGGCCGACACACCGGACTCCAGTTCCAGGAAGCCATACTGGTGTGCTAGCTCCAGCACCTCTAGCACCACACATTCCTGAAAATGGTATTTATGAGCCTCGTGAAAATAGTGAATATTTGGTTCAATGCAAACAATAATTTTGTCAAACAATTTAAAATCGAATTTGAATAGTATAAATATCACATATAAAAAAATGAGCATACTTGTCATGACCCAGCTAACCAGCACAATATATTTTTATTATATGGATCACGGCATGTGCAAATGTCATTCTGTTAGCTCAAAGGAAGTGGAATCAACTTTAAATAGTGGCAGGATTTGTCATTTAGTAGAGTGCAAGTGATAAACCGTAAGGTATGTTATGTTGTAAAGTTATTTATACTCATATATATATATATATATTATAAGAGCGGCGGCCGCAAGCCTACCGATTACACAAAAGAGAGAAGGACGACGATCACGTGTGTGGTCGTGGCACGTGGCAGTGGCTGGCAGCGGGCAGCTGCGGCCCTGGTTCCGGTCAATAAAAAAGGTTCCTGGTCTGGCTCAGAGTCTTCCCTGTGGGGCTCTGGGTCGAGCAGCCTCGAAACCCCTTACATTTGGCACCCAACAGGAAGAACCCTGCCCCTGGGCCACAGACATTGAAGCAGTCCGCGACCATGATCTTCATGACGCCGCTGACCGTGCCCACCTTTTCCGGCCAAGACGCGAGGAAATCGGAGGCTCAGGGCTAAAGGTTGGCTGAACCTCTCAGAAAGCAGACAGAGGCAGCGTAAGCAACATGACCTTTACTGACTGCAGGTTCAAGCTCAACTGCCAACGCGGACGTTCCCCGTGCGCGCGTCAGCTCGTGCGCTCAAGCACCCAAAAGCAAGGGTGATGCGCACAATATATATCTTTTCAAATTAAAAAAAGTAAGAATCGATGTGACGGTAAAACGGTCATTTAACTTTAAAGTGGGGCTTCCCGGCAGCACGGATATTCCCTTGAAAACTCTACTCCCGATACAGCACTCCACCCATCCACTGCAGTGAAGTGTGGCAGCTTGGGCTAGTTGGTATGGCATGACGATAGTTATAACGCGAGAACAAAACTACGACACAGAGACAAGAAGGACACGAAACCGCGTTTACACAGAGGTTACATGTAGATGAATATACACCTATTCATTCACTTTAATAACTCAATATGTCAAATAATTTAAATTTGAATAGAAGGAAATTCGCATATAATGTCAAAATAATTGTTCGAATATGCAAAGTACTTGAATATTTGCACAAGCTTAGTTATTTACTTATCGAAAAAGCACTGGAAGCCCCCTGATGAGAAGCCTTTATTAAAACAGGAATGACATTTCAAGCGTTGGGGAAAAATACATTGTGTACAAGGTCGAAGATTACGTAGAATGAAACAGCATACAGTTAAGTACGAATAATGTGTCCCAAGCAAAAATAGTTACAAAGAAGAGGAAAACATTTAGTACAAAGTCAAAGCTGGAGCAAAATTAAATTGCCCGCATTTGAAGACAATATAAATCTGTTATTAAAACAGAATTAGGTGTGCCATCTGTTAATGAAAACGAATTAGGTTTATGAAATTGCCTAGCAGTGACAGATGCATCTGAAAAAGACATACCGTAACTACTCGAATCTAACGTGCACCTTTTTTTCGGTTAAGCTAGTTCATAAATTGCATGCGCGTTAGAATCGAGTACGAAAAAAAAACTGAATACGGTCATTCTGTTGCCATCGGCATTTCCAAAATGGCCGCCCCCAACGTGCGTCGGCCATTTCTGCCAATATGTTTTCTATGTGCGGCACTTCGTACGTGTTCTGAGGAGTTCGTCATCTTGTAGTGCATTAGAGTCGACGGCATGGAAGGACCGACTCCAAAAACTGGAGTGCACCACGATGCCGCTTTTAAAAGAAGTCATCACGTGTGTAGAAACGGACGTAAATGGGCCGCATCGCGGTCGTTCGGAGTTCCCGAAACGGGCGTGCGGGAATGGCGGAAACAAAAGCAGAAGATTGTCGACAGCAAAGCTTCACGCAAAGGCTTCAGTGGACCACAGCAGGGTCGGTTTCCACAAATTGAAGAGCTGCTCGGTGAGTATGTGCTTGAGCAGCGAACGGCACAGCGGCCCGTGACGACAGAACTGCTCCAAGTGCGGGCTATGCAGTTAGCCTAAGAATAGAAAAGGTACTAATGCGGAGCCAGTTTAAAGCGAGCAGGTGCTGGCTAACTAACTTTATGAAGAGGAAAAGCTTTTCCCTCCGAAGGCGAATGGGCATATGCGAAAAGTTTCGAGAGGAGTATGATGAAAAGCTTCACAGTTTTCAGAGGTTCTTCCTAAACTTGCGGCAAAACAACGGCTATCTGCTTGGGCAAATCAGGAATGCCGATCAGACGCCTCTTTGCTTGGACATGCCTAGCACCACAACCGTCGAGAACAAGGGGGCGAAGCCAGTTCGCGTGCTGACATCGGTCCACGGTAAAACTACAGTGACGGCAATGCTCTGTTACACGTCAGACGGGCACAAGCTTCCCCCGTACCTCATATTTAAATGGAAGACGCTCCCGAAAGGAGTCGTTCTTTCGAGTAGTGTGATCCTGCGGGCCAACGAGAAAAATGGGTGCGCGTTGCAATCGATGTCTTACTTTTTTCTTTTTTTTTTTTCGTCGTCGAAACCGGGTGCGCGTTACAATCGAGGGCGCGGTAGAATCGAGTAAATACGGTACGTGCAATCAAGTGGAAGGATAGGCTGTTAGAAATTCACTTCCCATTTTGCCCCACTGAAATTTTCAGACTGAACATATCACAGACCCAAGCCCGTCACATCTCATGCACGTAACTTGCAATGTGAGAGCTCTGCTGGCAGCGAGTTGTGTTTTCGCCCTCTCCCATTCCTCAGTTTCTACATTCGCATTTAGTCAATTGACAGAGCGGCTATTTGGCGTAGGCTATTTAATCACTCACAATTCCACTGACGCACACTTTCTCGACGCTCACTACAAAAGTATGACAAAATGAATGAGGTATCTTTGCTGCACATAACTCGTTTCAAAAGATGCTTTTGCTGCAGAATGTGGCCACTTGTCTATATTCGAGAAAAATCTGCTCTGATGTGAAGACATGCTTTGCCTGTAAGTGTGCGCAAAAGTTCAGTAGCATATTATCCAGTTTAAACCATGAGCCAAGTATGGGAAACCTTTAAGTGTAACATCAACTGGCACCCTTCTACGGTTAGAATTCACTTTGAAATTGTTCAATACCAATTCATCTGAAGACAGTGCACACACACAAACACAAGAGAATTAACAAGGAATTGACAACACAGTGTTCATGAAAATGGCTGATCGGACGAGTTGATAATCCAAGACTGCTTGAAATACAGCGCATAACATGGATTGAGACATGAACGTGCTCGTCATTGTCTCAATCCTTGTCTACGTTCCACGCTCGTATTTAAAAGTGCCGATGTCCTCGGCTTCTTCTTTGTTATTTCCTGTGCGTGTGTGTGCCTTGTCTTAAAGGGACACTAAAGTCAAACAACAACTTACGTCAGAATAAAAGCTCAATGTATGATAACATGTAAAACGACATTATTATCAACAACAGTGCCTTACTTACCAAAAAATTAAGGTAAATGCACAAGAACACAAGCGTCACAGTAGGACATTTTCAAAATGATCCTGATGACATCAGAAGGACCACCTACAATTATTTACTAGTAACCAATTTAACTGCACTAAATAAAGCAACTTTAGGAGACGCAATAAAATTCTGCTTGTTCGTTTCATGTTTGATTCATGGAAAAAAGAACCGCTGGACATTACTATGGAGAATGCCATGAGTGGTTCGAAAATTCAATTTTCGTGTGGTTACACGGGACAGGCAATGCCATCTAGCGGGGCGCAGTTGAAACAAAAGAGTCTGCCATGTCGAAGCTAATGGCGGGAAATCGATCAATGGCCGTTGTTGCTGCTGTGGCTCCCGATGCTTTCGGTCTGCTGCTACTAGCACAGTAAAGCTGGGCAACGTTGTGCACGGCAACAGTGACGTGAATTGGTCCGGTTGGTCTACTTCTTGAGGCGAGTAATTTGAAGTGCGCTAACCCAATGCGGACCATTAAAACTTGATTTTATTTTAAAATAGGCCCTTCCTTGGCCCAAAAGTAACACTACGACTGTTTCTGAACCGCTATTTGGACAATCAAAGTCGACTTAATAGTTGTATTTAGTGTCCCTTTAAAATGAAGATTCACCATTTTACCAACAGACCGATCTCACCAAACGATCTGTGCATGCGCAAGGTTCCGAAACCCGCACTGTCGCCATCTTAGTTGTAGTTCGCAGGGCGTGGCTGCTTGATGTGTGCTTCAAGTATTATGGCAATTACACCAATCCTCAGCACAGAAGACAATTCAATGTCATGGAAAACTGTGTCCTTACCTTCAATGTATGTTATTTTACTTCAGGCAAAGTCTTGAGAGAAAAAGAAACAAGCATTAGATTCTGCTCATGTGTGGCCAGGTCATTTCATCGTCGCTTCACAGAAAAATATGAGTCACACACACACAAAAAAAGCAATCGTGTTCTTGTCATCATGAGAGCAAGAATTCAAGAATTCTTCAATGGATGTCGGCGCAAAAGCTACAGTATCCGGAAAATAACTTGTCCAAACTGCACAGAGCTCCCCACGACTACAAAAACTGTGGAAAAAAGCGGCAAGAATGAAGAAAAAATCTTTCAAGTTTTTGTTGTTGTTGAAGCAGCACTTACCATGTACCATGTGTTGTCAACGCTGGACGTCGATCACAGTAACTCTTTATACATGAATGAAGATGAAACGGTCGCCGTGAAGCATGCAGGAGGTGCTTCCACTGACTAGCTGCTCATGTCGTTTGCATAGGTTTTACTTTTACATCAAGAAAACCTCGCGAAGGGCAAAAAATTACTTGCTACGCAAGGAATGGACGAGTCAGAGATTTGGCAATGCATGAATGTGGCAGATAAGCAGTAGAACACTTCCGCTGGTGACAATACCAGTGCCAACCGGCTCAGCGGCGGTATTGTCGCTAAGCTCAGTATCTCGAAGCTCCAGAGTACTATATGTTAAGGGGGGACGTGGCAATGGGAATAGTAAATTTGGTCAAAATGTTCAGCTTTTCAATTAACTTTTTTCTGTAATCCCGAGATCATGTTTTACATCATAGTGTGATTTTAGACCAAAATAAGTAGTAGAAGTTGAGAAACAAGCATTTTACTGGTGGGCTGTCATCAAAAGCTATGTGAAAATTGGGCATAAAAAAATTCAAATTTGGAGCTTTCTCTTGGTACAGTGCCACCATAGTGGCATCATCATAAAGAGGACAGAGTGGAGCTCAAGACAGAATCAATACTGCATTTCTCCGATAAAAAATAAAGCCAGCTTCTTTCCGACTTCCATTATATCAGCTTCTAGCTCCAATTTCTTTGAGCTCCATTTTCTCAGCTTTCATTTTTTGAGCACTTGTTGTCGGTCATCCCTCTGCCATTTCACAGTAAATTAAGCTATAGCCATTCCGTTTTCTGCACTTAGATTGTGAGACATTGGTGAGTGCCAGAAAGCTGTCCATATTTGTGTTCACATCATACAGACTTTTGTAATTGGCTTTTTGTAAAAGTTGTTTGTAAGACAATATGTCCAGAACATTAAAAAAAAATTTTAATGTGTTTATTTATATATTAAAAATAAACCAATAGCATTACGACACAAAATGGACCTTTGTGAATATCCTTATGCAAAAATTTTGATGAACTTGTGTCTAATTAGCTAATTAATTTTGGAATGACAATGAGCCTATCAAGTGTTGCAACTCAAAAGTTATATTAGATAGCTCAAAACCGATTTCAGTTATGATATCAGCACAACAAATGACATCTGCATGCTGAATTTAAATCCTTTGGCTTCATTAATAACAAATATAATTTTAATTGCCACGTCCCCCTTAAGTTAATATGTAGTGCTGCAGAAAGCCGCAAGGTGGAAAAAGGGTTAAGAAAGGGAAAGAAGACAACCAGCCGTTTGTAGCACGAAGCCTCAAGGAAATCCTTACGAATTTCTCAGAAAAAAGAGCCTCCTTGTTGCCGTAGAATTCGTCCTGGTCCAGGTTTCGAACACGGGACCAATGCCTCTCTGGGGTGGTTGCTCTACCAATTGAGCTAACCAGGAAGCATACAATTGACAGCACTAGGGCAAATTTATCGACAACTTGAAGCACATGCACACAAGTATTGCAAATCAGTTCTGAGGAAACCCGCAAGGTGGCAGAAGGGTTAAGAAAGGGAAAAAAAGGCAACCACTTGTTAATACCCCCATACAATACTTTATACAATATTTATTATGCTCATACAAGATGAAGCTAAGATTTCCTGCCACTGTTGCCATTTTACATTGCGTTATCGATAATGTCACACATTGAAAGGAAAAGCAAAATCCTGGCAGTGAAGCTGGCTGGCTGCAATGCTGGCATGGCTGAGTTCTCGCTATGCACCCCCCGGCATGAGCTGTACGCAATATGCAGTTACAACCTTGATTTGTATAACAGGCCTCGCATGCGTTATATGTGTGACAGTCCTCATCGCTTTTGGTGTGAGATCAGTTTAAGTATCTTTAAACATATCTAAGCGATATCTGCTTTGACCAGAAATCAGGTTGTATCAACCCTGTCGCCACTGGCGGCATTCGCCCCTCCAAGGGAATCAAGCACGCGTTATGTGAAGTTTTGCCGTCACTAATTGGTCCACCAGTTGTGCAGCAAGCTTGTCATGATGCAATAATGACCTGCTAAAACACGATGCACTATACGTGCGGCATTCACAAACAGGACAAACAAGAAAGTGCGCGGTAGTTGCCACTCTGACCAAATTTGTTGGCTATTGCACTCATTACTGTCGGCGCTTGACATCCTTTGAGCACATGCAAAATCTGAGTCTTTTTGCTTCAGGCTGCCGTTGTAGCATCCAAGCACACAGAGTCCAACCATCGCAATTCATCCAAATATGGCTGTCGAAGCTCGTTAATGCAGCTCGCCAATGCACCAGTTGTAGGCAGCTGACATACAGAGTACTACAACTACTGGCATGCACTGCAGCGATGGTGGCCTAGTGAAACTAGCTGGGGAGATTGGTCTATTGTTTGACATTGAACAAAAGAGAAAACAGCAGTATTTGCACAAGCGAAAGAAACTTGGGTGCTGTGGCAATGCTCTCCTTCATACCTGCAGTCCAGCCAGCCTGAGCTGGCCCGTGTAGATGTATCGTAGCAGCAGCTGGAACGCTCGGAGGGGAGTGTCTTGCAGCGTCACCTCTTGCTGCTTCGATTCTCGCATGCCACCATACAGCAGTGCCCTGCAGCCATTACGACAACATCACACAGCCTTCAAGGAAAGTACAAAGGGTACACAACAAATTTCTAGCAACAACTCCTATTTGTTGCAACACCTTTCGAGAAATTTATATATAGTTACGAACCCACAATTCCAACTCCAAACAGGCCCATAAAAATGCTCAAATACAAAAATTGCAAATATTATGGGCCATAATTTAAAAATGCCTCGTAAAAACTGTTTTCTCAGAGTGCTACTTTACAGGCAAAGGTAAATGCTGTGTGACTAGCACTAGCCTCTTTGTTTTGTTTTTCGTTGTGTTCTCTCATCATATCCACTTACATAACTTTTATCTGTGCATATATGTACCGTGATTTCTTGCATATAACCTGCAGGAAAAATTTTAAAAAGTCGCCTGAGAAGTAGGAGTGCGGGTTATCAGCCAATAATCCGGAAGAAGAGGTCGGCTTCACAGCAATGCACGGCCTCCCGTGCAGTCCGCATCCCCATCGGCATCGACTTGTGCAAAGCCAATAAAAGCCAACACAGGCCATAGACAGATCCGCTCCGTAGTGTGTTTATTCACTTTTTGCGTGATTTGTTTGATTTCGTCAACAGCGTCACAACAGCCACTTGACAGCATCTTTCTCTGAGTCAGGTGTGGCCAGTTTGCATCGTTGGTCAACCTTGTCGGTGAGGCACCATTAGTGGGTTTTGGCGGCAATCTTTCACCGTGAAAGAAAAACTCAAGATTATAGGTGCTGCGGAAGAACAGAGCTGCTGTGAGGAGGCAAGATGTCGACGAGTCCTGCATTCGCAACTGGTAACGAAAAAAAAGGCCTCGCTCGAAAATGCACGCAAGGAGAAGCGAGCGTTTCGCGGCTCAAAGACGCAGCTTGTCAAATTTATTGAGGAGTGGAGGAGTAGCGGCCACACTGTGCCAACGGAGATGGCGCAAAGGGAAGCGCTGAGGCTGGCCCGCAAGATAAACATTTCAAGTGAGTTTCGGGTGAGCCGTGGATGGCTCCAGCGATTCATGGCCAGGCACAAATTTTCGATGCGGCGGCGAACGACTATGTGCCAGCGGCTTCACAACGCCTAGGGGATAAGCTGTTGAGCTATCAACGTTACGTCATCGGGCTGCGGAAGGAGCACAACCACTTGCTCTCCCAGGTGGAAAATGCTGATGAAATGGCCGTGTACTTCGAGATGCCCATAGACACCACTCTGCAGAAAAAGGGCTCACAAACTGTAAGCATACTGACGGGCGGAAACACCAAACTACGCTGCACAGTGATGTTGTGCGCTTTGACGGACGGTACCAAACTGCGCCCGTACGTAATCTTCAAGCACAAAACGCTACCCAGCACTCCACTGCCACCAGGGATTGTTGTGCGAACTGAAGATAACGCGTGGAAGAATGGGGACCTTGTCTGGGGCTGGCTTCGCACAAGCTGGGAGAAGAGGCTGGGCACCATATTGGCACGACGGTCGATGCTGGTGTTGGACTCATCTTGAGGCCACTGCACTGCAGTGAAAGCACGCCTCACTGACCACCACACCGACCTCGTGATCATACCGGTGGCAGGACTTCCATGCTACAGCGACTGGACGTGTGCCTCAATAAGCCGTTTAAGGTGCACGTGAAGCAGCTGTATGCCGAGTAGACGGCCAACGGTCGTTACGCCCAGACACCGACTGGGCGTGTGCAAAGGCCAGACATTGTGCTGCTGTGCCAGTGGATCGTAGATGCGTGGCGGGCGATTCCGGCCGACACTGTGCGCAAGAGCTTCAAAATGTGCGCCATCAGCAATTGCTTGCATGGCACCGAAGACGATTGCGTCTTCTAGAGCGACGACGAAGCCTCGGATGGCAGCAGCGATCGTTTCAAAATAAAGTTCTGTTGTAAACGAGATTGTGATGTGCTGTGCAGTTGTGACTTCTGAAAACAGATTTTTTAATTCAAGCTAAGCATGCAGGTTGGCTATATGCGAGGATATATATATGTATGTTTTTTTTCCGGGAAGTTCAAAGTTAGGGGTGCGGGTTCTATACGAGAAGATACGGTACGTCGCAGCTTTCCAAATAAACTTTCAGGTAGAAGCATCTTTATCTTAGTACCGTATTTAATCACGTAATGAACGTGCTCGCATAATAATTGCACCCCAACTTCAGTCATCAAAATTTGGATTTTCTTCCCCCGCGTAATAAACAAACCCTCTACGTTCATCTGCTGCAGTCCCGCTATTTGACACTTGACACCTCCTTACCCGTTGGATCTCTTTGGTTTTCTTTATTATTATGCCGACTTACTCGGCCACCTCTGCTCGCTACCTCCCCCCCTTCGCTCGTTGTCGCGTGCCGTATTCTTTTTCTTTCTACCTTGTGCGCGGCACGTCCCCACTCTCTTCTATCTGTGCGACACAGTGCAGTTCACAAACGGTGTAAGTGTAGAGACATCGCAGCTGATAAGCACACAGCGAGTGAAGGTCACGAAACTGCCCACGCCAACCGACAGTCGCTTCCTGCGAGTACGAAACTTTAAAGCCCAATCACATGCACGCAATTTTCGAGCGATGACGACAGGATGTGTTGTCGCGAAGGGTCATTCGTCGCTATCGCATCACAGGTTTCTGGAAAGCCAGAAAATATCGCTTGTCGCCCAGAAAAAATCCTGATGATTTCCGCAACGTGGTAGCACCTCAGATTGTTGCTTCGCTTGTTATCCACTTGTACAGGAACTTATCATGTGGAAGCGAAGCGGCAGCCGTATTTTGTCGTTAATCTTGTTATCGACGGTTTGTTTTGATGTTTCAAGGGTAGCTTGCTACAATGTTCTCGCACTCGTCCTATGAGATTGCCATGAAGTTAGCAAAGTGCGTCGTATCGCACGCTTCTGGGCGCCCCTCGAGATCACAACAGACACCACTGTTGCCGTTAAACGATTGCAAGAAAAGATAGCCACAAAACGCTTTTATGACGTGCGCGGGCAGCGCGGGGACAGCGTGCAGAAGATAGCTTCATCAACCACCGAAGATGAGTAAAGTGCAATAAACAAGCTGTTTCCAAACACCGTACATGTATGCCAATTGCAAAAGGCTAATCGACCTAACTATTTTTTGCATTACCACACTTTTGGCTCCTCCCAATAAAAATGTCATAAAATTTGCCCCGAATAATAAATGCACCTCCAACTTTGTCCCGACTTTGCGAGAAAAAAAAAAAAAGAGCATTTATTACACGAGTAAATATAATCAGTCCTGTTAAATGCTCTTATTTAACATAGTATTCTTCCCAAGATCGGATGGAGTCGCCGCCTGGTGGCTACAAGCTAAAGGGCGGTTAGTGTGAATTGCTCCCTGCATTATCTGCTAGCAACAGAAGGATAGCATGTTAGCATAAATAATGTTCATCCTCGAAGGGTGAGTTGTCCCGCTATGTCGGGGCAAGTTTAACTGCTTGTACACTTGCCTAGCATGATCTACAGACACATTTGACCTTGCTCGGTTGTATATGCTCTGGAATGAGATTATTTCATGCACTTGCTGAGAACGCTGTGTATCGTTCTTGTACTTCCTGTTTGCCAGGATTATTTTGGTGTAGATGCCACTTTGTAGCTGAAAGACGTCGTGAAGTGCCCTTGGCGTCGTGCCAAACATGAGGAGTATTAAATATTGTGTGAATGCAGAGTTTTAGTGACTCAATAATAAATGATGTTTTGCATTGTTGTTAAGTGTCTAGCCGTGGTACTGTAGCATATCGATTGTGCGACAAGCCTTAGTTGTTTCATTTATTCATTTCATTTCATTTATTGCATCCTTAAAGGCCCGAGGGCATTACATAAGGGGGGGGGCAAAAAATACGCTGTGAGTGTGTATAATTCAAGTTGAACAAATTATTATAAACAGTACAGTTCTAATATGGTAGTTTGGTCAAAAATGACAACAAAAATGAATCAAATAACACACAAAAGAAACGCTTTGGCTGGGAATTAGAGTACAAACAACTAGGCACAAGCAAATTATACATACAGTACGTTGGTAGAATATATTTACAGCCACGGGTTAATGGGTGGAATCAAAGTGGGATTCCAATTTTGCGCGGAATGATGTGCGGTCAGGTGTGGCAACAATGGTGTCGGGAAGGCGATTCCAAAGTGTTATTGCTTGGGGGAAAAAGGAGTCGTTCATTGCGGATGTACGGCCGTTGATTCGTGCAATGGGGTTTGAATGGTTAATGCGGGAAGAAGTTCTGTTTGGGGGCTGTAAAAGTTCGTGTCTTGATTGGGGTCAGAAAAAGAAACTGTGGAGGAGGCATAGGCGCGAGATGAGGCGGCGCGACGCGAGTGATGGCAGTTCAATTGATTGTTTTAGGGCGGTGACGCTGATTTCTCTGAAGAACTGTGAGGTTATAAAGCGGGCAGCGCGGTTTTGAACTGCTTCTAGTTCGCTAACGAGGTATGCCTGGGATGGATTCCAAATGGACGATGCGTATTCGAGCTTTGGCCGTACGTATGTTAAGTATGCTAGTTTTTTAACTTCAGAAGATGCTGATTTGCGGTTACGGCGCAGAAAACCAAGCGTACGCAGAGTGTCTGAGCAGATGGACTGTACGTGCGGTGCAAATGAAAGAGATGGGTACATGTGCACCCCGAGATACTTGTATGACGAAGCCGAATCGAGAGGAAGCGAATTGATAAAGTAGGTATGATGAACAGTGGTGCGTTTACGGGAAAATGACATCGATTTGCATTTGGTTAGATTTAACAGCATTGATGAGTCTTGGCACCATAGCGCAACTGTGTCGAGGTCTTGCTGTAGTTTAGTACTGTTTTAAAAGTTGTGAATGGGGGAGTATATGACACAGTCATTTGCAAATAGTCGAAGTTTTGTTTGAATGTTTGTTGGCAGGTCGTTTATGAATATTAAAAATAGAAGAGGTGATAAGCCCGCACCCTGAGGGACGCCTGATGATACGTGAGTTTTAGAGGAGTTATGATTATTAGCAGAGGTGAATTGTTTACGGTTGGAGAGGAAGTGTTTAACCCAGGAGACAATATTCTGTGCAATGCCAAGGGAATTAATTTTGCTAAGTAATAAGTTGTGTGGTACGCGATCAAAAGCTTTGGAAAAGTCTAGGAATATGGCATCAATCTGCAGGTGATCATCCATGCTTTTTAGTAGGTCGTGGGTAAACTCGGCTAATTGGGTCTCGCATGAGAAGTGCTTTCGGAAACCGTGCTGGTGATTATAGAAGAAATTTATTGATTCAAGGTGAGTCGCGATGTGAGAAGAAATAATGTGTTCTAGTAATTTAGAGGCAATGCTTGTCAGGGAAATAGGGCGGTAGTTTGCTGGATTCGTTCGCTCTCCTGTTTTGAAGACGGCTACTATTCGGCCTATCTTCCAATCGTCTGGAATTTCGCTTGTTTCAAGGGACTGCATGAAGATGAGGCAAAGAATCTGACTAACCACTGTGACGGTCTTAACTAAAAGTTTGGGAGTTATTTGGTCAGAACCTGGCGCTGAAGATATCTTAAGACCGGTGATTAGTTTAATGATTCCTTCAGGGTTAAATGCTATTTCGGGGGATACAGCGCCGGGGGAACGGGTAGGTATTCGTGTTGACTGTGTAATGTTAGGGGTAGAAAATACTGATGAAAAGTAATCATTTAAAGCGGAGGCAACGTGTTTTGCGTCTATTGGTTCCCCGTCTGGGTCTAGAAGATCTATGTTGGTACTTTGACTTTTGTGAGAGAGCATGCGCCAGAATTTAGTGGGATTTGAGCGGAGGATAGATAGTAGGTCACATGAAAAATATTTATCTTTGGCTTTTTGTAGTTCCGTAAGATACTTTTTGGCGCACAGGTGATATTTTTTCCATGTTAAAGGGTTATCGCATTGACTGGCGGTCCTATAAAGACGTTTCTTTTTATTTAAAAGACTCTTCAGTTGTTTGTTGAACCAATGATTTGTGGAACCTGATTTTACGCGAATGGTTGGAATATACTGTTTTTCTAAGTTAAGCATCGTGTTTTTGAATATCTGCCAGTTGGCGTTTACTGAGCGGGTTTGATATGATCCGCGAAAACTGTCAAGAAAAGAACCAAGTTTGTCGTTGATAGCGTCATAATTTCCTCGTTTGTAATCAGTTATGAATTTTTCAGTCGGCGACCTTCTGATCAGAGGTAGAGATATGCAGTTGTGGATAAGGTTATGGTCGCTAAACCCGGGGAGTACTATTGTGCGCATAATGTCATCCGGGCTTGATGTTAGAAAAAGATCTAAAGTATTATCACCTTTTGTGGGGCATGTTATAGCTTGGTGTAGGTTAAAATCTAGCGTCAGATCAAGGAATCGCTTTGATTCATTGGACGGGGATGCACTAGGGGCTGAGAGTAAAGGCCAGTTCATTTGAGGGAAGTTAAAATCACCGAAAAGAAAAATAGGGGCGTCTGAGAACTTGTCTTTAATCCGGGTGAGTGAATTTGAAAGGAGGATGGAAAAGCCAGGTTCAGAATCAGGCGGCCGGTAACAGATGCCAAAAATCGCCTTTTGGGCAACGTTTGACACTCGCACCCAGGTTAGTTCTAATGTGTCGTCATGAGTGATAAGAGAAGATGTTAGATTGTTTTTAATAGCTATGAGCACGCCTCCACCCCGGCGATTAGTGCGATCATGGCAATATAAAGTGTAGTCCATGTTAGACGGGAAGATTTTGTTGTCGAGTACGCCTTCGTGTAACCATGTTTCTGCTAGCACGACAATGTCGGCTTCTACATCTTGGATAAAACTGTGCAGTCTGTCTAGTTTAGACAGTATGCTTCGTATATTAGTGAAGGCAACATTTAGATTTAGCGTTGATGATCGGCTTGATCGAGGGTTAGAGGTGCAGTAGACAGAGGGGCGTGGTTCGGTGGTTTTGCTGCTCATACCTAATGACTCACCAGCTATGGCACGCACAGTCTGTTTTTTGCTGATTTCTACAATTTTGTCGGAAGTCTGGTCATACATGTAGCACTTTTTGTCCACGTGAAGTCTGTCGAGACTCAGTTTAAATGCGCATTTTTGGGGGCGGATGAACTGCAACAGCTTTGATCGCGCAATGCGGGTGGCAACTGCGAAGTCCTCCCTAATGGCGAAGTCTGTGTCTTTAAGCATGCGACCGCAGTTCAGAATGCGTTCCTTCGTTTTGTAGTGGGCTAGTTTAACAATGATGGGTCGAGTTTTGTTTTCTGAAAAAGTCCCGATTCGGTGTGCGCGTTCCATCGCACCCGGTTCCAGAGTAAGTTTAAGCTTGTCGGCACAAAACGTGGATATCTTTTGCTCCGACTCTTCCCATGTTTCCTTTATGTTGTCTTTTATGCCAAGGAAGAGAAGGTTGTTCCGTCGTAGGCAGTTGCTGGCGTCAATAGTTGCGGCTTTGAGCACAGAAATTTCGTGGCTTATCTGGGTTGAATCGTTGTTATCGCTAGGGTTGCTGGTTTGGGGCTTTAGTTTTTCTAGGATTTCGAGTCGGTTGCTAATTGAGGAAATTTGTTGTGCTTGAGATAACCTTTTATTGTACAGTCCTGGTCCCAATACAGCGAAATATTTCTGTAGAAATTTCTGACACTTGGGTACTTAAATTGACGTATTTAAAAAACGGGAAATAGAATGACACAGAGGTGATGAAACTTGAGTCGCTGGGCGCAATTCTAATACTGGGCGATATTTATACAGACAAACTCGTGCGCTTAGATTCAGGTTCGTTATAAAGAATACCAAGGTCAAAATTAATTCATATTGCGTGCCTTGCACTTATATCAAATAATTTCACACAAAATATAAGTCTTTTCTTTTTTTTTACATTATGTTTAGCACTTTTGTGGCACTTGTATACACTGACGGAAAAAGCGGACATTATTGGCTTGAAAAAAAAATTTTTGTCCCACCAAATAACCGAACCGTTGTTGCATCCCTGCCATGTACATTATCAATCGAATAAAGCTGTGTGCAATCCCTGCCATGGCAGTCGCATTTCAATAAAGGCCTGTGTACTGTGGGAAGTTAGTGCTTGTTAAACAACAGTAAATGGTCGAAATTTTGAAGCCTACACTACGGCGTCTCTCATAATCATATCGTGAATTTGGGTCGTAAAATCTCTCATATTATTATTAGAGCTGTGTGCTGAGATGTTACCTTTTCATGCTGGTATTTGAGTAAAAACCAGCCATGTAGCTTTCCCAAATACTTACCAACTGTCCCACGTTCATTTCATGAAAAACAAAATAAGAAAAATGCGGATGCGCATTTGTAGTTATTTTAGATCATCGCCTAAAATATGTAATTTTTTTTCTTTCAGTTTTTTTTTTTCCAGTATTCAAGACCAGCATGCATGAAGAATGAATTAAGTTGCGCTACAGCAGTGCATAGTAGACTAAACACAAGCTCGACACTCAAAACATAAATACAAGAAATGTGAGAGTGTGAAAGCTCAGACAGTCGCCAAGCGCAAATATTCTTTTCAATGGTACATTGCCTTTCTCCCGGAAGTAATAGTAACGTTCATAAGCTTCGTGCATACATTTAGCAATGAACGGCATATATATTACTAGTAAAGCAGTCGATGCATTTTATTTGCCGAGAATATGCTCCCACCGCTCAGAAAAAGGTGCCGCAGGGTACATTTGTATGTGCGCCGCCGGCCACCTATCCACACTAATGCGGTGACGGTGCTGCCTGTTATAGCCCAATCTAGAGGCGAATACTGAACTGGTGGCTGAGTGTGCTCACCGAAAGTAGCTGCTGCAGGAGGCGAGCACGAGTCGATGTGCAGGCAGTCGGACATCCTCGACCACCAGGGTGACGTCGCTGTACTCGGGCTCCAGACACAGGCGGCCTATATGCTCAGCCAGCCAGCCCACGTGGTTGAGCTCGCCGTATGAGGACGGCTCGGAGGCGGCCTCCTCAGTCGGACTGCAAGGGCGGCCCAGGGGAGCGGGCAGGCTGCTAATGTCCGGGCAGTGACTGTCCCCCATCTCACCAAGGCATCTGCAGGGACAAAGAATGGCCCTGCAGCTTAATAGAGAGCACGAACTTGCACCATTAGCCCCAAGTTGGAGTGGCGCCTCCTGGTGGGAGGCTTGCATGATGTAACGGCACGGACTCTTGGAATCTTGCTGTGGCGCGAGTATACATAACACGCGATCGCTTCAAACACCCTTACGCTGCCAGCGTTTGCTTTTTGCTTGTTTCACGCTTAAAATAAATGACTGAAGCAGCATCGATAATGTTCCTGATAAAACAACGAAAAACTAAGCGTTATTTTTATTTTTTTCAGTAGAATCGCCAACGGTGCCAGCGCTCCAGCGTACACACCTTGATGAGGTTTGTTCTGGTGCTGCACTCTTTATGGGTTCAATTCGCGGCAGCAGTAGCCGCACTCAGATGGGGGTGAACAGCAAGATAATGCATGGACAGCAGGTTAAAGAATGCGAGGTGACCCCGATTACTCCGAAGCGTACCTCGCAATGATGTTGTGCTTCTGAAACGTATACGACAGCGTACTTGCATTTCAGGTTGCGTCGCTCACAGCATCTGTATCGTACGCATCAGGGTAACTGCTGGTGGCGGTTTTAATTTTTTTTTTCCCCTGTGGGCGCGTGCTTAAGCTAGTATCGAGTGTCGCAAAATATCCCGAATGGGCTTGCTCTAAAATACTGCCGCAGCTGTTTTGTTAGATTTTCTTGTGTGTAGTCGATCATATTTCATCATGTTATTTATCTTCATGTTTTAAGAAATAATTTCGGCGCTCCTTTTCACAAGAAAAATAAGTTGAGGTTAGTTGCAGAAACTGCTACTGATTTCAGATAGTGTCTACGTGCAACATTCTAGCAATTGTGCTATCAGGCTTGCAAGTACTAGTTTAGATAGCCACATGATGAATCATTTTTTCCCATGGTTGATCACCCCAGAATAGCATCAATCTGTATATGAACATGACCTGCGAGACCAATCACTGCTTCACTGAGGCAAAGGGCGTTTCACTATCACGTGGGCCACGAAGCGGCATGCGCCATCGACACAGTTCATTTCGACCTTCTGGCTTTTGTTGTGCAAGCGATTGCTATCAGCAGTGCTGCTACCTGAAGTAGTGAACATTACCGTTTATAACGTGATGGCAGGTCGAGTGAACTGTTCGCGTAAATCAGGATATGGGACTACGTAATCCTGACGACTGTTGGGAAGAAATCTGTACATGGGATCCAAGTGTACCGACTTCTCAGAATTCCCGAAACCATTCTGTGGTTTGCAGCATTACTTTTTTTTCTCACTATTACAAGTGATTGTGCATGAAAGACAGATTCATGTAAAGTCTCCTGCATCCGAAAGCGGAATTCTGTAAAATTAGCTACATTATTTGCAGAGGCAGACAAAACTCGCACGGTAAATTGCAATGCTGTGAGTAAATTGAAAACGTCCTTCATTCATTTGTAATACTTCGACACAAATGTTTAATTGCGTAGTCTATGCCAAGTTTTAATGTAGTCAGACCCATTTAGTGCACGAATATTTTCTTATCATTGATTTTGTCGAGTACGTGCATGGCGAAAACAATAATGTCTCACTGTCCTGCACCTTCACTTTCAAAGTGAATCCATACTTTCTGCAGCTTTGTTAACTTTAACAACAGTAAATACCTTTACTTTGTACCCTTTGTACCTTTAATATTCTACTACTCAAAATTGAGAAGAAATCGCCACCATATCGCTGCAGAGCAGGTATGTGGCGGGCTCGGAAAGAAGCCACCATCAGCATGCGTCAGCGGCGAAGCAGGCGAGTCTGTGCCGTGACGTCCCTTTGCCGCGACTGCAGTGACTCCAGTGTTCATTCTCAGGGCTAATAGAGTATTACACTAGAGGGAACTCCGGCACTAGTGTCTGCAACACATGGTGCTTCAGCCAGCATGGGAATGATGAGTAGAGCACGGATTTCTCTAAACTTCATTCTTTCGGCTCTATTTGGCTTCATCTGAACTGCACATTTTTTGTCGCCAGACAAAGTTCGTTCGGCAGTTCCACATTACTGCCTTATTTAACCTTTTAAGTTGACCCATTCAAATCGGCTCAAGAAGTTATCTTTTGATTAAAAACAAACGCCAAAACACGCAAATAAATGAAACCACAACTGTGTTCGAAGCCACAAGCATGCAGTTTAGGCACATCCATGTACTACCCATCATTTCCACTAGAGTTCCCTCTATGCCTTGAACCATACATTCTCAAGGTTGGCCCTTCTGATGTCCACTTCAGGAACAATCATCTCAAACTCACCCTGTCCTACGTGATACCAGTTCATGCCTGAACTTTTCCCACTTCGAATCTTCCACATAGCCACATGTCCCATCTCTTAATACCTGTCCTGACGCTTTATGATTGACCATCAGTTACAGGGTGTCTATCAACTTCATTTTTCCGAATTCCCCACCTTTTCCTGGTTTTCCAAGGCCATTAAAAGCAAATTCCATGATCATTACATCTGCTTGGAGAACTCTGTGCGCTAGAAACAAACCCTCGAGTGGTAAAAATTTATGAGGCGGTCATATGAAGTGCAAACCATGAATTTTTATTTCATTCTCTTGGCTAAAAGTTTTTTTTTACAAAAAATGAAATATTAAAAAAACATAACAGGAAAGCTCATTGGTTTGCATCATGAATAGTTTTACGACTTAAAATATCCAATTCCTTGCTGAAGCTGCAAATATTTCATCAGCATTTGTTTCTCTGTTTCAAGCTCTTTCACAAAAGGCGCAATCCTTCTCTTGTTTCTTTCAGCATCGGGTAAGTCCTACAGTTCCTTCTTTTTCCCCAGATGTTGGCACTTTGGGCCATCCATGTCAATCATCTTGTCAGTGATGTCCCCTTTTGCGGCACCACCTGCTGCAGACATATAATCGTACACTACCTTTGTGCTGCAAGTGGCTCAATCTCATATTTTCCACTAGACATTCCTTATTTGCCGAAAATCCCCACCCCACTGAAGATTTGCCATGTGAAAGACAAAGGCACCATCTTCAGAAACAGCAGTAGCTCTTTGTGAGAACTTGAACCACCCACAAAACAGTAAAATTTCTTTAAGATGAACTTGAAGGGACCAGATTATTTGTTCGTCTCATCAGTGGTTCATCTTATTAGAAGTGCCCCCAGAAACGAAATGCTAACATGCTAAGTACACCCAAATATGTTGCTTGAAAACAATGAATGAAGTATAGTTATGATGGAGAGGGAAGGAACAAGAAAAAGCCTTTATTTGGCTCAGCTTGATATAAACAATACTTTCAATTACAGTATACTTAGACAAATCTACTGAGTACTCGATTTCACGAGTTCAAAATAAATATGCTCTTTGTAATGAGTAAGAGGGCGCGAGGCTCGTGCCCTCATGAATAAAATGCTACTACATTTTAACACTGAAACTGAAGCACGACTATAATGTGGCGATTAGAAAAAGTAAGGGAGGGTTAAGCGTAATTTTCCTTCAAAGAATGGAAAATTTATTCCTCTGGCGGATCACCCTCGTTGGGTACGTTTTACTGGCTTCGCTATCACTTTTGGATAACTCCGCAGTGCATACCGTTACCTCGACAAAGCCAATATATGCCAAGTTGCTTATGAAAGTCTTTTCTTTGAGGTCTGGATATTTTCTTATTTTTTGCCTGCAGTAACTTTTTCTGATGACATGCGGCTGAAGATCTCCATTTACGACACTCACGATCACAAGCCCCGGGCACACAAAAAAGGACATGACGCAGCTATATTTTGTGTGCAAAATGACCTCCCTTTGTCGTGTACTTTCATATTAAAAATGGCACATCACAGTTTGCTGCATTTCCTGTGAAAAGATACGACGTGCAAGGGCCCTATGCAAAACAACGCAAACTGACCACAACATGTGCTCAGACGCTTATGTGTGAAGGCGATGACAGTGCATCGGACTCCTCTGATAGGTGTGCTAGTGCCGCATACTTTGTAGTTTCCACTTGATGTAATGTACATATAATCTTTACGATTGGCTTCTTTCCGCTCCCCTTCCCTTGCATTTTTCCTTCAAGCCCAAGCTCTTCTGTTCTCCACTGTACTTCAAGTTGGGAAACTGAAGGACGTGAGGAGAATACAAAAGGAGGACGAATGCTTTTAGTTGCTTCCTTGGTTGATAAGGCTGGCCGGCCATTTCTCCACCTACCGGCTATGAGTGATGGAGACACCAGCTTTATGCGCTGACTTTTCTTTTCCTCGCTCTCTCCCTCTACATAGCTTTCAATTTGCTTTGAGTCTTTGCACCAGGAAGCTTTCTTTCTCAGTTTAGAGGGTGTCTGCAGCATCCAGCTTTGCACAATTCATCATAATTCATTTAGCACAATTCATTCAGCACAATTCATCCCATAAGTGATCAATACAGGCTGCCTAGTTCTGCTGCAAAAGAAGGCAGCATGAGCTTCTTAGTCTGAAACAAAAATGGCTCTTGTCTTCTCAAACTGAGAGCATGAAGGCCAGCTTTATTGGCAGCATCTGATCTGCCACAGCTACTTCCGGTGAAGTTGGCATAGTCGACTCGGCGTGCAGGAACATTCGGCCAATGTGTTGAAATTTGAAGCAGCGTTTGCTTGGGCATGTTGGTTGAAATATGATTAAGATTCTAGCGAAAAAGTCAACCACTGACTTGCAACTGTCCTTTTTTCCCCCCGAGATATGATTGGTTTTGCGAACTAGCTCGGGAATAATTTTTATTCGCACAGCGATATGGACTCTCCGGTGACAAGTGAGGCTAAACAGAAAGAAAATATCCTTATGCTCACGCGCCTGCTGGCCTGCCACCACAGAGATGCCAATTGGAAGTCAGTGCTTGACCTTGCCAACTTTTGTTACTTTGTGGGAGTTTACTTGCCTAGCCAGCTGAGTCTAACTTTTCTGGCATGCATTGCAGTGTAGTATTTTGTATAGTAAAACAAACATATTTTTCTTGAAGGATGTTCCAGAAGGATTTCTCTTTCA